CTATGGACTATCGATGCCTCTTGTACCACGTGGGGTGATACAGTGTAAGGCCTCCCTCATTGTAAGGTCTGTAATGAGTGAAAGGATCTGAATCAAAATATTGCATGTTTTCAAATGATGCTAAAACAAGGGATCCAACTATTTGCAGGAGTCCCTATTGTTTACAGACAGGTTTAGTTCTGAATAAAATAGAGAAAACATCAGATTAATTTTTGTTGTATAACTATTTGAAATTTAGAATGTGCCTTCTCCTCTCTACATAAATTTACAAGCCAACAAGTCAATCAGTCAACTAACCAATAATCAAAATAAAATAGTTACCAAGAAGAAGAAATTGGAAGGAAAAGAGAAGATGAATATTAGAGTCATCATTAAAAAAAATAAAATCAATATGTACTTATTACAAAGATAGAAAGCAAAATGTTTTTATCTTTTAATAATTTGGTGGATGTGGCAGTGAGGCAGGGATAGAAAAAAAATACCAAATAAATGTTGTCTGACCCAAATGTTGGTCGAGTATGACACCTAGAGGCTGTATACATAGAATTCTTTTGGGTGGTATTTTTCAGTATGCTTGGTGCCTTTATATAGGGAAATTTATTTAAAGTTCTAATTTCAAAGTGAACATCCTTACATACTTTTCTGTGTAACACTATCAATTAATAACTTTGTGTATACCCTCTTCATTTATTATTTGTATAAAAACTAACAATATTGAAAATTGTTTACCTTTCAGTCATGTAACTTAATTTTTTATCATTATTTTTAAATACTGTCACTAATCACTGCAAGTCATTGTCCTTATGTGTTTGGGTGCTGAAATAGGTTTATATGTTATTATTCTAATAAGAGAAAATACATGTAAAAATATATACATTGGCATTTAGAAATGATAGCAAGAATAATAAAGGTAGAGTCAGGATACCGCCTAAGAAGCTATAGGTTCAGAATTGTCTAATTTCCAAATATAAAAAAATATGCTTTGCTTTTGTCATCTACGAGCTTGGAAAACTGTTGTGGCTCTGGCTTATTAATACTTGAAGAATTCATGAAAAAGAGCAACTATTTACTTCATGGCAGGCTATACAGATGGTCAATTTAATCTGCATTCTAGAGACTTCTCATGACTAAGTTTTGACATCATGTCGTTAAACATTTGTGTATTATTTATATCATATTCTACAAAATAAAGATTGTTATATCTTGGTTTTTCTTGCCATGTATAAGCTTTATTGGTGGGATTTATCTAGCTGGACACTATTCTTTTCACAAAGAAACATACACACACACACACACACACACACACACACAC